CTTTAAGTTGTGTCTAGAATTGACATCTATTTTTACTTGAAATATAAATAGTTTAGTGGAAGAGCTGGAATGATTCAAAACATGGATTTTAACTGTGGATTGACTACCAGTGAGTTCAGTGACATTAGTAATTCATATTTCTTCTTTGAGCTTGATTTCATTTTTCAAATGAAGGAGTTAAATCATCCTATACAAATTTCTGCTCTAATTTCATGTATACCTTGAAATTCTAAAGTTTCTCCATCTGCTTCTAAATTGAAGATTATATAATGTTTATTTTCATTTGGGGTTAGAAAAGTAGGTATTTGGAATTTTTAATAGCTTTCTAACATTTCAAAGCATTTTCAAGTACCTTTAGAGTTGGACAATTTCACTAGATTATGGTCATTACTACACTTATAAAGACTAAGAGAAACTTGTAGATAAGATCTTAAAGATACCAGTTCTTCACTGGTTATTGATTATATTTTTCAGTCTGGTTTTTAAAAGTCAGATACAGTGAGATGCTACCATTGATATAAGAAAAACAAAATCATGTATGCTCCATAGACCAAAGGCTACTACTGTAAGACCAAAAACAGGGACTCTGAGTTGAACTGTGTCTGGGAAAAAGACATGTGACCTTATTTGTAAACAGGGTCTTTGTAGATATAGTCACAATGAGGTCTTTAGGGTTGGTCTTAATCTAATATAACTGATATTCCTACAAAATGAGAAACTTAAACATAAACAACCAGAGGGAAGACTGCATGGAGACATAGGAAGAACACCATGTGAAGATGAAGGTACAAGCCAAGGAACACCAAAGATTGTCAATAAACCAGAAGAGGAGAGAGGCATAGAACAGATCCTCCCTCCTAGCCCTTAGAATGAACCAACCTTGATAACACCTTCCTCTTGGACTTCTAGACTCAGGAGTATGAAACAAAATTTTTTTTTAAAGAGAGAGTGATAGAGGGAGAGAGAGAGAGAGAGAATTTTTTTTAATATTTATTTTTTAGTTATCGGTGGACACAACATCGTTGTTGGTATGTGGTGCTGAGGATCGAACCCCGGCCGCACGCACGCCAGACGAGCGCGCTACCGCTTGAGCCACATCCCCAGCCCGAAACAAATTTTTGTTGTTCACAATATCTACTTTGTGGCCTTGTTATGGAAGCCCTAAGAAACTAACAAGAGGGTCAACAAAATTTTAAAGTAAAGGGCCAGATAGTAAATATTTTAATGTTTTGGGCCATTCCACCTATGCTGAAACTACTTACCTGCCATTGTAGCAGGAAAGCAGCCATAGACAACACACAAATGATAATAAGTGTATTATTGTCTCATAATACTAATTTACAAAACAGGCAGCAAGCAGCATTTGACTGGGGCCTGGTTTGCTGACCCCTGGCTTACAACACGCAGAAAACAGATCAGTTGCTAACACTGTAACCAAATTCCTCTTACCCAGATTTATAAACATACGAATATGCTCCACCAAGAAAGATCCTTTTGTGGAGAATTGTAAGGATAAGAAAAAGAGAAAGCTCTTGAATTGACTATATTTTAACCCTAAATCTAT